ATGCACATAAGTTTTAATTTTTAGTATGTCCCACTCGTCTCTTTTGTCTACTTTTGTTTGTGTAGTTTTCAAAATGTTTGATAGTCTGTGTATTCCCTGAATTAGTGCCCTCACTCCAATAAATAATTTTTAAATGTCCCTACTCTTAAGGACCTTGTCATCTTGATGATTCTTATTCTGCCTCTGAAAAATCACTAGGGAGGCATTATGGTATGGTAGATAGGAGGGTAGTCTCAAAAATCAAACGGGGTTTGAATCCTGCATTATCCCTTTCTAGCCTGTGACTTTGGAAAGTTACGATCCTAACCTCTTAATGTGTTGTTGTTGTTAAGTGTTATGGCTCAGTGACCCTGTATAGGATTTCCAAGGAACTGCTTGTGGGTTTGAACTGCTGACCTTGTGGTTAGCAGTCCAGTGCTTATCCTACAGCCCCTTAATATGTAACTAGGCTTAAATTAGAAAATGTCTGTAAAAGTCTCAACAAATTCGTTTGTCAGCTGTACTGGTAAAGACAATGGTAAAAAATAATAGCTACCATTTTGCCCTGTGATAATTACTAAACTTCCTTTATGTATTTTATTTATTCACTGAACGTATTACTTGTCCTTTTTACTTCATTGAGTTATTTACTATCAAAATAAAATTTGAAATCAGTTAGTATAATGTATGTATTCAGGTGCTAATACATTCAAGATGATACATAAAAACACTGGCCAATGTTTGAAAGCAGTGATCTCATTTGCTGTCTGCGTATTATTGTAAGTGAGTTTCATTTCTACTTTATTTGTACGTTGTTGTTATGTGCTTTCGAGTCAGTTCTGACTCATAGCGAGGGTTTTTGAGGAGTGACTGGTGGGTTTACCTTTGAGGTTAGCAGTTCAGTGCTTATCCTACAGCACCACACCAGGGCTCCTCTGTAGTAAATGAAAATGCTAGGGGCATTGTAAAATTCAAAGTTAGGAAGGAGCATCAATTCTATAAGGCAGAAAGGTACTTAAATGAACACTTGTAGAATACTTGGTAAAGTAAATTTGGTAAAGTGAATTCTGTATGATTCAGTGTTTTTACATATGTCAGTATTTTTCCCATATCATAGTTTGTGTGACTTGAAGAAACATTGAATTTCTCTTTTTAGGATTCTGATTCTCAGGTGAATTTAAATGGTCCAGACACTGATGATGATATTAATGAAATAATTCAAATAGATGGAACTGGAGATACATCTTCTAATGAAGAAATAGGAATTACAAGAGATGTAGATGAGCATGAATTTCTAGGGATTATTGATGCAGAAGATCTGAAGTTACTTGAAGAAGAAAGTGACAGTGTATCAAATGAAGAGTCTAATGTTAACAGCAGTGATAATGAAGACCCTCGTAGAGACATTATAGAAGAGGTGAAGGTCATTTTTGAGCTACCGCTTTCTTTATTCAATTTATAACATCTTTATTGCAGTATACTTTGGTGTCCAGAGGAATAACACTTAGTATTAACCCTGCCTTTAGTCTTAAAATGAGGCTTATATGTAGGGATTTAAACTTTTAATTTTAAACTGTAATTTAAATCAGTGTTATGTATGAAGGATTTGGCTTCTAATTTTGGTGGTCTTAACTAGAGGTAGTGGGATACTTAGGGGGTGGAAGTAGGACTTAAAAAGGTAGCCAGAGTAGACACACTTTCTGCTCTTAATCGTAATGGTTGGTTGGTTAGTTATGTGCCATGGAGTCAGTTCTGACTCATAGCGACCCTGTACAGGGTTTCCGAGGCTATAAATCTTTACGGGAGCAGAAAGCCTTATCTTTCTCCTACGTAACAGCTGATAGTTTAGAAATGTTGACTTTGTGGTTTGCAGCCAATTCATAAACACCGCTGCTAGAGCTCCTTTCTAATCTTATTAAGTTTGGTAAAATCTGGGTGGAAATGTGGTAACTAAAAAAGTAGTATATTGTATTAAAGAACCCTGGTAGTGTAGTGGTTACAAGTCAGGCTGCTAATCACGTGGTCATCAGTTCGAAACTATCAGCAGTTCTGTGGGAAAAAGGTGAGACTTTATGCTCTTGTAAAGATTTACAGCTTTGGAAACCTATACAGAGTTGCCATGAGTCAGAACCAACTCAATGGCACACCACCACCACCACCATTTTGTATTAATTGTCATGTACGACGAATTTACCTATGTGCCAGACAGCATGCTAAGTCTTACCTGCCATATCTTATCTAATAGTCTCAGTGTCATCTGGGTGTTATTACTATCTCATTTTACAGATAAGAAAACTGAGATATGGAAAGTTTTAAAAACTTGCCTGAGGTCAGTCATGCAGCTAATAAGTCTCAAAGTGGAGTTAGACTCTAAACCTTATACTTCTGAGTATAATACTATTGTGCCTCACCTCCAGGTTCTTTTATTTCTATGCCTCTCTTTCTTTAAAAAAAAAAAAAATGCAAAGCACTATGAAATTCCTTAATTCAGTCATGTTTCATCTTTAGGACCCTTTAAATTCTGGAGATGATGTTAGTGAGCAGGACGTGCCAGACCTATTTGACACGGAGAATGTAATCGTCTGTCAGTATGACAAGGTATTGTATTAACCTCTTGTGCTTTAGGTTTATTAATTGCATTTATAATAGAAAGATTTGCAAACTGATGAGAAATATGATGGTGTATTCTATTTCACAGTTAAATTAATCTTGAAACAACTATTTAATTTTGCAATTTTTTAGGGTGTATTTTGGGTTTAGCACTGTGTACACTCAATGATACCAGAAGAGTGACAGTCCTTAGTGTAAGGAGGTGGGAAGCTTATTGAAGCAAGATATTCTGAGGGTAAATGAAAAAGCATTGCTACATGCGTGGTTTTCTTCCTAACAAAATGTGCTTACACTTGCCTCTGCAATCAGTAGATGGTTGCCGGCAAGTTCTCTCAGTAGCATACTTGTTTTAGTCTCCTTTGGATAGATGATGAAGTGAATTGTTTACTGTGTCTTCTAGCTATAGTCTTTGTAAATTCCCACCAAACGACTTTTTTCTGATGTGTCTGGGTAAGAAAAGGTGGGGAAAATGCTGATGGGTTATATGTTTCCTTTGTGAGTGATTGTTAGCAGGACAAATAGTGATTGGTCAATTTTGCGACCGTGTTGTGTAAAAAAGGAGCTATCTCAGAAGCAGAAGGGGAATCTCATTACCATTGAGGAAGAAGAGCCAGGAGTGAGTGCATCCTTTGGACCCTGATCCCTGCACATTGAACCTCCTCAACCAGGGACAGAACGCTGTGACATTGGAGCAGTGGCCGAGGAGCAGAACCGAGAGCCAGAGCCAGAGCCTGAGACAGAGCATTGGACTTCCTGGCCTAGGAAGCTAGTGAAGTTGAATGCTTCCAGACGCTTGGTTGGGGGCTTAGATTGCCAATCCATGGAGCTATAGTTGAATGCCTTTGACTGAAACTTATTGTGCAGTGGAGTGTCCTTTGGGCATTTACCGGCAGCCCTTAAAGAGCTTTGTAACAATGCCCAAGCAGGGAAGATAGTGACTAGGCCAAGGGACAGAGAGAGGCCTGTGTGTGGGCACTGCTGAGGAGAAGCTGTACTGAGTATTTCTCAGGAACTGTGCCCTGAGCATTTCTGACCCTGAAGTGTGTAACCTGTTACCTTTCCTAATAAACCTCATAAATGTGCGTATGGTGTCTGAGTTCTGTATATGGTCACTGCAATGAATTCTCAAACCTAGCAGAGAAACAGAAGTGCTGTGGGAGGGCTGCATGCTGCCATGTTTTGAAGAGTGCCTTCAAGGGAAAAAAAAAAAAAAAAAGGTCCAGTTAGAATAGTGGCTTCTGATGGGATCTTCTGGGCCAGTTAAATTTGAGGCAGAGAGGTCATCTCAGAAGGTTATGGCAACTGGTTTTTGGAATTAAAAAGTGGTAATCTTGTTAGATTTTCTCAAAGGACACAGAGCAATCATGGGAGCTTATGAAGTTTTAAGAACATTGAAAATCGCATTGGTGAGGACGAAGGTCAGGAAAGTTATACCAAGGAATTCCCCCACCCCCCCATCATAACAGTGAACCTGTTTATTTTTTTACAGGTAGCAAGGGCTGTCCTATGAGACTTTTGTTGGGAAGCCTTACCGTAGCCACCCTACAACTCTGATCTTGTCCCTTCAGACTTATTTTTGTTTCCCAAACTCAGTATTTGAAAGAAACATGATTTGAGTCCATCAAGGATGCCCAAAGTGCTGTTTTGACATGGTATAAATTGAAGAGGATAGAATTCTTTGAGGGAAGGGCTAGAGAGATGGAAACACTACCTTCAGAATTATATAGACCTAGGTGGAGGAGATGTGGAGAAATAAAAACTTCACATTTTTATATATTTTTTTAATAAAGGTGTCTATGTTTTGTAGCAATACCTTGATTTATCCTCATGTAAATATTAACATGGATTTGATAGGGAAAATTAATGGTGAGATGAAGCATTTTATTATAGTTCATTCTATGCTATGGAGTCCCTAAACTACCAAACCAAATTCACTGCCGTCAAGTCTGTCCTGACTCATGGAGAGCCTCTAAGAAGCAGATTGCCACATCGTTCTCTCATGGAGCAGCTGGTGGGATCTATCTGCTGACCTTTCTGTTTTAACCACTTTATCACTGGATCCTTGTGAAAATGATTAAACACAGTCACTGCTAACCCAAAAGTTTAAGCCACCAAGAGGCACCTCAGAAGAAAAAGCCTGGCGATTTATTTAGAAAAATCAGCTACTGAAACTCTGTGGAGCACAAATCTACTTTAACTCACATGTGATTTGGAATCAACTCATGAGCAACTGGTTTTATTTTATGCTGTGAATAGGACACTAATGGAATGTGAAAATATGTTAATGCTGCATTTTCTTTTAACAGGGTTTTATTCTCATACTTCTTTGGTTTCCTATTTTTATATTGAAGACTTGATCCATTTGGTGTTTTCTTTGTGTAAAATGTAACATGTGATTATACCTTTTATGTTTTTCCCCAGGGACTGCTTTAGTTGTCTTAATATTATTTATTTTTATTATCTCTTTTTGGGGGAGGTAGGAGTAAGGAGTTAGCGTTAGAGTTAGGACTATGACTAGGTCTAGGTTTTGTGTGGAATCCTGGTGTGAATCTTCTGTTAATGTGTTGAACTGCAAGGTCATGTGGACTGCTCAGTTAGTTGGCAGTTCAAGCTCACCGGCTGCTCCTCAGAAACCTGTACAGGGTTGCTATAAGTCGGAAACAACTCCACATCACTTAACAACAACAACAAGGGTTTTGTGTAGTGTTAGGGTTATGGTTATGGCTAGAGCTAGGGTGGGGGTTGGGCTAGGGTTAGGAGTAGGACTTGGGCTAGTTTTAGGATTACAGTTGTTGTTGTTAGGTGCCATCAAGTTGGCACTGACCCATAGCGACCTTATACACAGAACGAAACACTGCCCGATCCTGGGCCAACCTCACTACTATTGCCACTCTTGAGTCCATCGATGCTGCCGCTTGGCCAGTCCATCTCGTTGGGGGTCTTCCTCTTTTTCTCTGACCCTCCACCTTACCAAATATGGTGTCCTTCTTCAGCGACTGATCCCTCCTAACAATATGTCCGAAGTATGAGAGATGAAGTTTGGCCATCCTGGCTTCCAAGTTGCACTCTGGCTGCACTTCTTTCTTCCAAAACGGATCTATTGGTTCTTTTGGCAGTCCATGGCACTTTCAGTATTCTCCTCCAACACCACAACTCAAAAGCATCAATTCTTCTACCAGCTTTCACATGCATATGAGGTTATTGAAAATACGATGGCTTGGATCAGGCGTACCTTAGTCCTCAAGCTGACATCTTTGCTCTTCAACACTTTAAAAAGGTCTTGTGCAGTAGATTTGCCGAATGCAATATGTCCTTTGATTTCTTGACTGCTGCTTATGTGAGTGTTGATAAGTGGATCCATTAGGTTTACTCTAATTTTTTTCTTGAAATCGATTTGATTTTCTCTTCATTTGGAAGTTCTGTAACTACATTATTCCCTCTTTTTACTTTGTGTTTATTGTTGTTGCAAAGTGGTAACTCTGGTTTCCTGTTTTCAGTCTTTAATAGATTTGTTTTACTTTGAATACATCTATAGCTGGGTTGAGTTCTGGGTGATGTATCTGAAGTTGTTTCCTGTTGTTTTTCTGTCCAGAGAGCTCCCTTTAGTATTCTTTGTAAGATTGGTGTCGTTTTTACAAATGCTTTTTAATTTCTGTTTATCTGGAAATGTCCTCATTTCACTTTCATATGTGAGGGACAATTTGTTGTGTATATGATTCTTGCTTGGCATTTTTTTTCTTTCAGTTTATATATGTCAGCATGGTTTCTGCTGAGAAAGCAGAGTTTAGTCTTATTAGTTCTTTGTAGATAACTGTTTCTTTTTTTCTGAGTGCTTTCAGGATTCTTCCCTTGTATTTGAACAGTTTGCGTATAATATGTCTTGGTGATTTTCTTTTGGGGTCTGTCCTGTTCGGAATTCATTCAACTTTTTTAATGCATATCTCCTCATCTTTCATGATGTTAGTACAATTTTCCTTTAACAACTCTTAGATAATTATTTCTTTTTTCCTGGTTGATTCTTGAATTATTTAAAAATATTTAATGAGTTGGGTATATTTTAGGAGGCAACAATTTTCCATTAGTGACTTGGGAAGTAATCCTACAGAAATTGTAAAACTAAAAATTCTTTGGAAAGACAGTTCTTGGAATACTGTGCAGCTGCTGAAGGACAAGCTCTCTGAAAAGGCCATTTTCAAAGGCACTGAAACCAGTAGTGCAGTTTCCTCTTCACTTTATTGACTGCTGAAGTTCAGTCTCCGATGCTTCTTCCAGCTTTCTCAGATACTGCCTTTCTGAAGCTTTTCTGTGGTAGACATCATAGAAGGTTTCCTTTTCTATGCACATTTTGATCTTGATTCACTCCATCGTTGTAAGGACAAAAAAGAAGGGCAGGAACCTGTAGATGCTTACTCACTCCTTCCAGGGAATGTGCTGCAGAACTCGTTTCACCTGGACTCTGGAGAACATGCTCAACCCGGATTTTGGAGATGGGTACGGTGAAACCAGGTGTGATTGGAGCTGCTTCTATTTGGATTAGTGTGCCAGGGTACCAGGAGGAGACCACCCTGCCTCCTAGCCCTTGCTGCACACCAAGCTCTTCCTCTGTGGTTTTTGTTTTGCTTGTTTTGTTTTTGTGTCTCTTCCCGTTCTGGAGTTCCAGCCTCACATGAATTATTTCTTGATGATATCACACATAATTCTTAGGCTTTCTTTGGATTTTTTTTTTTCTGATTGTTCCTCTAGCAGATGAATATTGAGAGATTTGTCTTCAAGCTCACCAATTTGACCTTCCATTGATTCAATTCTGCTTCTCTGTTCTTTCTCAATGTATTATTTTTTTCCCTAAAATCAGTGTTAATCTTCTGAATTTCTGTTTACTATTTTTGTATGTTGTCTAATTTCTTATTTATTTTGTCAGTTCTTATAATGTTTTCCTGTAGTTTTCTAAAGTTTTTTTCTGTGTTCTGTTTGCTTTTGTCTGCAGCTTT